TGTGGGGAAAAAATACAAAAGTTTTGGTTCAGTCCCCATTTACTTCTTCAGTCAGAGGAATTGAAATGTTTTACAGTATATGATAGACCTACAATATATACAGGAAATGAACCAAATCACACATCTAACACTAAACCTGCAGTTAACGAAAAATAATTTTCACATACGCAATTGTGAAAACAGAATTGTTTCTGACCAAGGAGAGCAATCCGCTTGAGGCACTGGCTTTTCCTTTTTCTTTCTGCTTAAAATCCAAGAGCACAGTTTTCTGTTTCTACCAATTCAATTTTACCTTCTTGGGTTTGGTGGAATCCTTACAGATCATTTCTCCGAGAGGATTTCAACCAAGCACCTTAGCATGGTCAGATCATCATTTCTAATGCTGCTAAACTACACAGAATCAAAATCAGAACCTTGTGGGGTGACTACCAGTAGACAAATGCAGTCTCTATCTGCAGGGAACTAGGGGACAAATTCAATAGAGAGCACTGGATATCAACTACACAACGTCTCTTTTGGACAGAGCAGTTCAATTAGTAAACCTATTAAGCTGTTGTGCCTGTCAAACCACTTTCTCAGCTTAGACAAAAGGTTTCAAGAGTGTATTGACCAGTGTGTTGCTGAAATTCTCTGACAGCGTTTGTCTATCCCATCAGATGAGGAGGGTAGCCCACAGATACCTCTGTGTGTCTGAACTCTTCCACTTGATAGTGTTATATAAAGTTAAAAAAAAAAACAACAAAAAACTGCTTTACTTGTAATCCAAGATTAATTGAAATCTGGACGGCTTGCACGAATTTCTGTTGTATATTGAACTTCTTCCCCAGAAACATGTTCAAATTTCAGCTTCTGATATCTGTGAATGTGAAATCATTTTGAGATAGGGTCTTTGAAGATATTCTCAAGTTAAGAGGAGGTAACAAAAGATGAGGGTAGACCTTCATCTAACCACTGGTGACCTTTTAGGAAGAGAGAAATTTGGATATACATACTGACCCATAGAAAAGGAGAAGGCAGAGACTAGAGGGATGCTACCATAAACCAAGGAATGTAGGACTGTCTCCAACAACCAGAAATTGGAGGAGGCAAAGAATGATTCTGCCTTATCCTTAGGAAAAAACATTTCTTTATCCATTACTTAATTTTGGATTTTGGCCTCAAGAGCTGTAAGACATTAAGTCTCCGGGTTGTGTTTTTTTGTTGTTTTTATTTTTTTATTACTTCCTAGTATTTTAATTTTTTTATTTATAGTTAGTACATAATAATTATATATAGTTCTGGGGTGTAATGGAATGTGATGTTTCTAAACAATGTGGAATGATCAAGTCAAGGTAATTAGTATTCTATCACCTCAAACAATTTTTTTATTTTTATACAAAAAAGAAGACACGGAGTTTGGAGGGAGACATGGGGGTGGGGAAGGATCTAGGATGAGTTAAGAGGTAGATGGGGTAAACACTGAAATAGAGTGTTTGCATGTTCAAAATTCTTCAAGAATAAATAAAATATTTTTCACTTTTTTGTGATAATATTCAAGATTTTTTCTACCAGTTTCTATTGCTTTAAGCCACCTAGTCTGTGGTAGTTTGTTATAGGAGTCCTAAGAAAGTAATGAAATACAGAGGCAAAAGGATATCTGCTTCAAATGATGTCTTCTGTTACCAGAATCAAGAGTGTGTGCGAACTGGCTAACAAAGGCAAGATCTCAGAATGTTTAGGCTCTGGAGCTGGCAGCTGGCCCAACAGCCACAAGCCACACGTGACCACAAGGGGAGTTTGAAGAAACCACACAGAGTGGGGACATTGGCTTTCAGGGTGAGGGACTAGACAAAGGTGACATTTAGGTCAGGCTTGCCACCACGGAGGTAATGTGCGCCAGGCAGACACACCTCAAGGAAACTGTCAGTTGGGAAATGGTGACAATTCCCATGGTCGCCAGTTTGTCATCATCATCTAAGCTGAGCTTCCTGTCTCCAGTGCCTCATCTTCCTTGACTATGTTCCGTCATTCTAAACCCAACAGCAGGTGGCACAAGGGAGGGATGTGCCAGCCTCTGCTGGTCTCTATATATAGCACTCTGGCTAGTGTTTGGAAGGTGCTAAGACTCCCTTGATGAATGACTCTCTGGCAAAAATGGTTACATTTGGACTAGAACCTGGAAGGTGTTGATACAGCATGTAGAAAGAGGAAAAAAGGTGACCTCTGGCTTTTTCTAATACTGATCTAGCCCCCAATAGCTCAGGAAAATATGCGTCTGTAAGGGCAGAACCCCTCACTGGAAGGACCTTAAGCCTTCCCAGCAGTAATTAGGAGGTGTGTTCTTGCTAATCTCATACAACACTAGTAGTGAGGGTTAATTTTGAAAGATAAACTAAAAGTGCTGCAAATGGCCTTACCAAACAAACAAACAAAAACACCACCTCTTACACCATTAAACCAAACACCACTCTATTCCAGGCAAGAATACCAATTCTGATGTCTTGACCCATCACCACACTTACACTGACACACCCTTAAGGAAGCGACTGTGAAACTGGCCAAATGAAGCATCAGTGTGCAAATATCACTTAGCAGGCACGGATAAGCTAGGCTAAATCATGCTTACAGCATTTATAAAAAGATTCAAATTTTAATACATTAGCACCAGAACATGCTGTACAAGCAACAGGAAAATTGCAGTTGTCAATGTGCAAATTTAGTCTCGGGGTAAGTTCATCCGAGGAAGTAAAATCTCAATTTAGATTTTTTTCCCATATCTGACTCTCCTTCCCCCAATGCCCACATATTTCTTCTAGAATGGGAGAGGACAAGTTACTCAGTAAATGTATTTCACACCCAAGTATTGGGTATGAAAAGGAGGGGATGGGTTCACCAAAATGGTTTGAAGTTGTCTTTCAAGGGGCTTAATTGCAAAAGAGGCTTAAAGTGTCCTGGTGTGTGTGTGTGTGTGTGTGTGTGTGTGTGTGTGTGTGTGTGTATGCCTGCACATGTGCACACATCTTGTTTTTAGCAATGTTGGGGACAGAGCTACGGCTTCATGTACATTAGGCAAATGCTCCATCACTGTGCTACATCATCTTTTCATAATGCAGGAAATCAGCAAGATATTTTCTGGTATTTTTCTGGTGTGCTTCTCAGAAAGTCTACCTGCCTATAGGGGCGGATAAAAAAGGAACAGGCTGCAGCTCCCAGGTTGGGAGCATACATTAGCATACCATTAGCATATCATTAGAGAGGGAAAGGCCAGCTGTATGGGTTCCTAAGATGGGCCAGGTGGGAGAAATGGCCCCAAATCCACCTGGCTAAACAGGAGAGCTGAGAGCTTGGAAACCAGCAGCAAACTCTGATGATTTGAAAGTAAGCTGTATTCCAGTACAGGTTTGACAAGCGTTTCCTATATCAAAGCAGCAAATGGACTTTCATTTCAGAAAACATCTGGTCTCTCAGACCATTCTATCAGAAGCAGCTATTTTCTTTAAATTGAAAGTCAAGGCAGTTTCTTTTTCTCAAAACCGTGCTGTCAGCTCTGCTGCCTGACTGGAAACATTTGCTTGCTCTACACAATGGCAAAGCTGCCTTATCCTTAAACAGAAGTGGGATGGGAAGACCCTCCAGAAGGGCATCTCGTGAGTGATACATTTACATAAATTTTTGCCCCAAAGGACATGTCTATCAGTTATAAAGATGGAATGTATTTAGAGAAAACTTTAGAGGAAAAGAGATGCCAAACTGCTCCTCCAGTAAGGATCCTTGACACATGACACATCTATATCATCTATGTATATTTCCATTGGCCATTTGAAAATTTCATGATAAAGGGGAAATTTTCTTGACCTACATACTCCTAAGTCATCAATTACTAGATGTTTGAGTGCATACAAATGATTGTAAGTATGTATAGATGTGTGCTGCTTAATGATGGGGTTGTGCTAAGCAAAATGCCTGCTTTGGTGATGGGCTGAGTTGTGAGCATCATACTTACATAAAGCAGAATGGCTGGGTAGTTCCTAAGCAATACAAACTCATGAGACGCCCATTATCCATGAACTGTCACCAAAGTGTAGTTATGTGGCCCATGACTATACCGCATGTAACAGATACTCTGTGCGAATATGCACCTGCACATTAGGGTGAGGTCATTACATCACGTTACTGAACCTTATTGTTTGCATCTCAGGACTGCCCATTCACTTCACCAAAAGCTCACTAATTGCCCCCCCCCCCGTGTACTGTAGCAAAAAATCATTTATTATTTCAAAATGCTTTTCCAACTAGACAGAATTTATATCATTAACTATGTAATAGTTCCTTAATTAGAAGTAAAATGATCATGGCAGGATGTTGTTGATATAATAATCTTACCTGTGATACTGTAAGAGTTTGAGATGGCTCCCGGTACCAAAGACAGGATCATTCTTACAGTTATAACCTTTCGTACTGACTTCCCCATTCATCATTTGTCTCCTCTTTATCAATTACAGAGAATCATATTTAGTTCATTAACAGAAGGAAGCTACCTTCCCTTTCTCTGATATTTCACAGATGCTAATGATGTATAAATCCTGATGCTCAGGGAAAAAGAATACCAACCCATTTTCTCATGAATTATAAGCAGGCTACATGAAAACAGAATCTAGAAACATACTCAGTAATCCCATGATTATAAATCCATCCACTATAAATTTTGAGGAAAAACATATAATTAAAAAAATGTAGAAAGCCACACTATGGTTTTATGTAAAGCGTCAATTTAGTTATTCAATGGTTATAAATTAGCCATTAGGAACTTATTCTTCGAAATGGATTAACCTTTTCAATTATCATTTCATCTGTTTTCTATATAAAAAATTCAAAGAAATTCAAGGTATAGGAAAGACATGCTGGTGGGGGAATCTGAAACTGATTTGGTGGCTTTGGAGTTGACATAATCTTGGCCTGGTGCAGCTCGTTTTGGAAAGCTGCCTCATATTTCCCCTGGTTTTGAACTTTTTTTTCCTTACCACTTTCATCTAGCAAGAAATCATCCTGGTAACGGAACTTCTCCGGTCCACATGCAATAAAAATGTCATCGTCACCAAAAAAGTCCTGAAGGCACATCACCTACAAGAGAAAAGCACGGTACTCAGCGAGGGGTCCTCAGAACAGCAATTACAACTCGCCTCCCCCCAAGCAGACCTCTGCATAAAGCCACTTTCCTTTAATGGAATCAACAGGGCAGCTTCTCTAGAGGATTTCAAAGGAACGGCTCAAGCATCTGTTATTAGTAAGAAGCATGTTCCGTTTCAGTTCTGCAGAAAGGCGGAGAAGGCGACTAGACCCGGTAACTGTCACATTTATTACTTGATACATCAATGGGCTATGAGGTAAGAGCTCTTTGTTTCCATAACACAGTGGATGCAGGACTGTGTGAGCAGGGAGCCCCCTCATGCTTCTGAATGTAAGTTCTGATAGCAACAAAAATCAGCACATGATTTTAGCAGCAAATATGCCTTTTTGCTGATTGATGCCATCGTGTGCTCAGGACCATCATTGAGAAAAAATACTGTGTTGTGTTGAGAACATGATAGTCTCCTTTAGACCCATCCTACCACTAGCTGAAAGAAAACTAGAGCTCTTGTAAGAGGAAGAATCTGAAAAAGTTATTGGTGAGGTTTAGATACAAAGACTAAAGTAGATCTATGCCCTTCTCCCATGCTGCACTTAACGGTGAAACTCTCAGCCCACACCCAACACCATTACCCATTATTTTTCAGTACTGGAGATCAAGGCCAGGGCTTTGCTTATGCTGAGTGAGTACTTGGCCACTAAGCTATGCTGCTGCTCTTGGCTTCTGTTTTCTTGCCTATTTATTTTGAGATAGGTCTCACTACATAGCCTGGCCTCAAACTCTCTATCCTCCTGTCTCAGACTCCCTAGTATTGAGGTTATAGACCTGGGACATCATGACCCTTAACTTCTTGTTGTCTTATAAAAAGCATGTTTTTTTGACAGGTTCTCCCTAGTCCCAACCCGCCTGAAAGTCACAATGTGGACGAGAGCGGAAAAAAGCAATTTTTAAACTGGACATGGTTGTACATGCCTATAATCTCAGCATGTGGGAGGGGGCTAAGAAAGGACAATTACCAGGTTGACTTTGAGGCCAGCCCAAATACCATAGTAATACTCTGTATCAAAAGTATAAAAAAGGTTTTGATGCAATCTTTTCTCGACCTAGCCTTCAATAAGAACTTTAAGGCAGATGTCACCTTGCAGTGAAATGCAGTCAGAATGAATCATTTCAAGCATACTGCTCCTGGTCTTTGAAGAGGCTTTTGCAGTGTATTATTCATAATATATACGATGCAAGCACTGGGATACTGCTTCTTATCTATTTTCCCAATTTCCTTTCACCACTTGGCAAATCATAAGGTGCCCAATTGGAGCCACCCATTCAGAGCTCTACAAAATAGCCTTTGAATTGCATTTTCCTCTGGGTGCTCCAGCCCTGGAGACAAAGCCATGTGGAGGGTGAGGCACTGACACCCCATGTTTACTGTCAGTATTTCCCTCCTCTGAAGCTCAGCTGTGGCCATGTGATTCTGTGTCTTTGCTGTCCTTGGTAATGCTGCCGTATCCATGAGCTGTGGGATTCAGAGCAGAAAGTTGGGAGAATACAACATGCTTTTCAGTCCCAGGTGCAGTGGTGTGGGGGTACTGGGGTCTCTCCAAATGTCTCCTCTCCAAATGCCTTGACCGCAATTTTTTAACGGAATTTTTCAAAAGTTCGGTAATCAACATTAAACATGAATAAGATGCATCCATGGCTGTCAGTGATCATTCTGCCTTTGAAAGCTTGAAGACATGGGCAATCTAAGGAGAGGAGGGACCCGAGGGGTCTCAGCACAAGCATGATATCAGACTAGCTGCACTTGCACTTACTTTTTAAAATCCTTTGAATTCAGAATCTGAACTCCACACAGCTCCTCCTCTCTCGCTCCAGTTCTGACCTCAGCCATCTTCACCTTCATGCTGTCTCAGCTTTCTCTGAGTATTGGTGTCATCTATCCAGAGGCCATTTTCATTTTAGATGCATAGATCTTTACTGAATGCCTGCCAGAGGTCAGCTAGCACATAGCACTGACATACAGAAATGAGTAAGAAACGAGCTCTCCCTCAGGCAAAAATATGAACACTGACACCAAATGTGCAGTGCTTCCTAAAGGGTAGATGATGAATAGATTTTTGTGTAGTCAGAAGTCCTATGGCCAAATATCACATTGGGTTTATCCAATGTAAACAGGTTTCTGAACTTCAAAAATCCTTCATGTGTTAATAGTATACCAGAACTCCAAGGAAGAGAGAGGAAAAATCATGCTTTCCGGAACTCAATGGTTCCAGAACTGTTTCTCCCATGGCATCATGCAGACAGTGCTCATACAGTGCCTCCTTTGGTTAGATGTTGAGAACCAAGAGTGCAAGGACTCAGAAGCCAGGCACGGTGGCACACACCTATAATTCCAGCACCTGGGAAGCGAAGGCAGGAGGACTGTGAGTTTGAGACCACCCTGGGCTACACAGTAGATGCAGTCTCCCAAAACACAAACCTACCAACCACAAACAGAACCCAGAGACCACATGGGGAAGAACAGTTACCTGCTTACACAGCCATGTTTCTCTAAGAAGATTTGCTTGCTAATTTATTGACTGAAACTTTTATGATGGACCAACTCTGTGCCAAGTTCTAGGTCAAATACTATGATAAGAAAATTCTAATAAGGGCAGAGGCGATATAACTTAGTCCATAAAGTGCTTGCCACAAAAGCATGAGGTCCCAATTCAATCCCTAGAATCAATGTTAAAAAAAAAAAAAAAGCTGGGTAGAATAGAACGTGCTTATAAGCCCAATTCTAGGAAGGCAGAAACAGGGGAACCCTTGAGGCTTACTGCGCAGCCTGCCTAATCAGTGAGTCTTCGGTCAGTAAATCACCATGTCTGAGAAAACAAAGAGAAATGACACCCAAAATTGCCATTTGGTCTCTGCACACATGTGCATTCACACTGGCAGACACACACATATGCACATGTATACATACACAAAATTTCTGACAGACAAAAAAATATCATTTCCTAAAGGAAAGAGTCCTTTCTGTGTATTCCCATCATTTACGTTGCAGAATATCAAATGTCTAACTAAACTATTCTCATCTATGTGTACATGTTTTGTCCTAAGTGAATAAATATGCATCATCAGAACTGCAGTATGGCAGAAGCTGGTCACCAGCCCCACACTTCTACCATTCAAGCTGATGACCCTTCTACAAACTTGAGACCCAATGAACACAGAGCCAGCTATCCATCTTGGACAGTTTAGGCATAATTCTGTTAACAAGTGGGAAATGAAACACGATGAACTTTTGATGTCCTTTCCAAAACCAGGACTCCAAGAATACGAAAGGAAAAGTATCTGTCATCACTCAGCACAAAGACACAGGGAGAAGTCATTTTGATGCTGAGTAGCGTGTACCCATTTACTGCTCCTGCTTCTGCGAATGGAATCAATGTTGAACTATCTGACACTCTGGTGTCTTGTGCTCAGCATCATTTTGCTTCTTTCCTGTTTACAGTTTCTCGCTGGAAAATGTAAGGTCAGTAGATGAAATTCAAAAAGAAAACTGCTCTTCCTGGAACATCATAGAAAAAGAGTGAGGGCAAAGGAGATTTGGACACGAAGTTACAAGAAGTGGGTTTCGGGTAATTGGTGCACTTAGGCTGTCTGCGCTCTCTCACCGTATCATTGATTGACAGGTCACTGTAGTGTAGTCCATCTAACAGAAAGCATAACAGAGGGAAGTTTATATCCCCTTTCTTTTGTACTGTTTAGGCATTTTCCTTGAAGTGTTTCTGCACATTCTGATTTCAAGGGATTACAAAAAGTAGAGGAATGTGAAGTACATTTTGCATAATAATCTGATCTCGTTATAAGTATAAAGTATTAATTCTTTTAAAAGTTAATGTACCCAAACCTCAGCTTGGTTACCAGGCTTAAAATATAAGTTCTATTTATGGGTGAAAAGCATGCCTCATCTACCATGAAATCTCTGCTCAATTGGTATCACCAAGACAGGGCAGATGCAAAGTGAGACACTGAGTTTGAGTGTCTGTGGAAAGCTCAGCCTGTGGAGAGCATCCGTCCTCCAAGCTTACTTCTTCACTATCATCTTTTCACACCTCATTTCCAACTCTCTCCAAGAACTGCTATTGCCAGCGTCTGTCTGTCTGTCTTCTTTGCTAGTGTTAACTATGGCTGTGGGTTGATCCCTAGTAACAGCTTCAAAACCCAGGCTGGCCCCAGCCTTCCTCCCCATAGTTACCATCCCATGTCGGTCCAAAGTTCATCCTCTTTTAGGGTCCTTGATATTTTCCTCCTGTGGAAGTTTGCATCCCCACCTTCTTTGTCTGTAATCCATCCTATTTAATTTTGTCAGTCAGCTTTCAAATTCTTTCCATATCTCAGAAACCACCAATGGCTTATAACCATCAATTTAAAAGTTCAGCTTTTTGAGGTTGGTATAGAAGATGTCTCTAAATCTACCTCCAACCCAACCTGCCAGAACTTCTAGTGTTTAAGTTATCACATAGCATCTGATGAGTAGTAGACATTGGTCTGATGGATGGATGGATGGATGGACAGATGGATAGACTATGCTTTAAAATGAATGTGTTCTAATTGATCTCATTTTCTAATAAAGGGATTATTCTTTCCTATTTATGTGCATTTTTCTATAAAATTCCCCCTATTTTGAATCCACTCTTACCTATTCCTGGCCTGTTTAAGACCCACCTATGGATCAAGGTTCAGGTGAAGGTTCAAAGTCCCACTTTGTCCATGCACTCCAATCCAAAGAGGCCCATCCTTGTGCTGAGTTGTGTAGTCAGCGTTCAATGCATGTTAATTGAGCACTTATTTGATAGACTTGAGACTATAACTGCTGTTACCTTTTCTCTCTTCTTTATAAGTCTGTATGTCTACAGACTTATGCTTATAATCCCTAACACACTGTTTGCTGTGAATCAGTCATTTGCAAAGAGTGTTCTGCATGATTTTCCAGTGCTTTTGTCAA